GCGCGTGTGTGCGTGTGTGCATGTGTGTGTATGTATGTGTGTGCATGCGTGTGCATGTATGTGTGTGCATGCGTGTGTGTATGTATGTGTGTGCAGGTGTGTGTGTGCGCGCGCCCGTGTGTGTTATACTTTTGGTCATTTCATAGTGCGACCAATGCTTATCGACTAGAACCACTAAAACCACATCGCAAAGAATGTATTAATTGATCTATATTTACCAGCTACACACTGCGCATGGAAGCCACCACGGCGGCTACTAGTCCCCATAAAACTGTCTACGCCTCCCCCGGGTACAAGAACTGGAGACGACTTACTAGAGCAGCAGCTGCACCCGGGGAGCGACATGAATCTCCTTTCGGCTCGTCGTTCCATCGCATCTTCGTATAAAACGTCGCTCGTTATTCGTTTGATATCTTACGCAATATAGTCACGACCGTTGACACTAGATGGCGCGGACGTATCCCGCACGTACCGTCATCGCCGAGTTCTTCCCTCTGCGCGCGTCTCTCGCTACGTGCTATGACTGCGGCGATAACAGTGATGAGGGGAAACTGGGTTACCGCATACCATGCAATACCCAGTGCTAATCATCAATGTTTAACACTTGTATAACGCAGATTATGGTTACGATAATGGATTAGGGTTAGGGTTAGGGTCAGGATAAAGGTAAGGGTTAGGGTTGGGGCTGGGGTTGGCGTTGGGGTTGGGGTTTGGGTTGGGGTTGGGGTTAGAGTTAGGGTTAGGGTCAGGGTAAGCGTTAGAGTTAGGGTTCATGTTAAAGTTAGGGTTAGAGACAGAGTTACGGTTAGTGTGAGTAGTTTTCAGGTCACAGTTGTTACAAGGTATGCGGTCCCCTGTTTAACGTCTCTCCTCTCTCTCATGTATGATTCTCTCTCCGCGAAGCATCCCCCGTCCCTGTCTCTAGCTGCAGGATGCCTAGCGACACTGCGAGCTGTCTCATGCGATTGATCACCTCCTCCTGCATCAAGTTAAAGCACATCGCGAGCAGCGCCATGCCGAAGAGCATGTACAGCGAGCAGAGCACCAGCTTGAACTCTGATCCCGTGTTGTTGATGACGTCATCGCCGGGCACCAGGTCGCCGAATCCGATCGTCGTTAGCGTGATGAAACAGAAGTAGGATCCGTCGAGATAGTTCCACTTCTCCCAGACGGAGAACAGCGTGGCGCCCATGCCTATGTAGCCGACGAGCAGTAGCATGCACATGCTGATCGGTACGCGGATGCTGTCCATGTCGACGTCATAGTTACCGCCTGCCGGCGGCGTCGGCGAACCACCGCCGCCCCGTCGCACGTTGTTCGCGTGATCGTTTACTGATATGCTGTCGATTTTGATCGCCTCGATCTCCTCTAGATCGGACGCCTTATTATCACCACAGCCGCCCATAGCGTTGCTCTTCTGCGTCTTCACCCTCTGGCGGCGAACACGCGGCCAGCGCCGCCGCTGTATGCAGCGACGAGCGATGCGACTGTAGACAAACTTGAACGAGTTTGCGAGGAAGTCTCCAATGTTGGTCAGGTAGAGCAGCATGAGCGGGATGCCGACGATCGCGTACAGGATCGTGACGATCTTACCGGAGTTCGTGCGCGGGGCGATGTTCCCGTAGCCTGCAAACACACAGAGAGAGAGAGAGAGTTAGTATGTGTAGGGAGGAAGGAGGAGGGTGAGAGGTAGGGGGGAGATAGTTAGAGAAAGAGAGAGCGCGAGAGAGAGAGAGGGAGAGAGAAAGAGAGAAAGAGAGCGAGAGGGGGAGAGGGAAAGAGAGAGAGAGAGAGAGAAAGACGAGAGAGGAGAGAAATGGAAAGTACATACAAGAGAGAGAGAGAGAGAGGAGAGAGAAGAGAGAGAGAGAGAGAGAGAGAGAGAGAGAGAGGAGAGAGGAGAGAGAGAGAGAGGAGAAAGGGATAGAGAAAGGAGGAGAAGAAAGAGATAGAGAGAGAGAGAGAGAAGAGACGAGAGAGGAAGAGAGAGAGAGAGAGAGAGAGAGAGAGAGAGAGAGAGAGAGAGAGAGAGAGAGAGAGATGTATACATATTTCTAATTGCTGTATCTCGTGGGAGGAATTCCTTCAGCGAAACAACAGCACACTGGCGAAGACTATAGTAAGTAAAGTTAGCATACAGCCAGTGCACTGTAGCTTCATGAATAACTGCGTGTCTTCACCGCAGCAGCCAACCACGAGACGCCACGTGACAGCGAAGATAACGACGACGACGACGGCTTGTAAAATATGGCGAATTACCGTCGCCAGTGATTAACGATAATTAACGATATCATTAATTAATTAAATCTGCTTGTCCGTCGCACGCAGCCGCGCCACCTCTCTGCTGCCACGCGCAAGGAAGCGCGAGAGGCGGAGGAGACTGATAAATTAAATTGGATAATTTAATTGTTCGCCGAAAGCCGTTCGTCACGTTGTTTACGCGACTCGCGGATAGATGGCGCCACGCGATGTATGGTTGAGGCATTTGTAGCCTATAGGCGCGTTTACACGGACGTTTTTGGCCCGAGCCTAATGAGGCCCGCGACAAATTTGGCTCCAGTCGAGCGTTCACACGGACGGTTTCTCGGGGCCGTGCCGAGTTAGCACGAGCCAATTTGGTCCCATCGAAAACGTCTGACCAGGCCCGAGCCAAATTTTAGCACGAGCTAAATCGGTAGAGCGGTAGATGCCACGTGTGTCGAACGTGTACTTCAACGACGTAGTCCAAACGTAGTCCAAAACAGTATAAAATTTCGAAAAATTTGATCAGGATGCATGTTTTCAAGATTGATAATTGAACTCGGAACGGATGTAAACACTGAATCGTACATAACGCCATCTCGCGACAGACAGTATTCGCTTGCGTACGTGTGAACGCTCCGACTCAAACCGGCCCGAGCCAAATTTAGTCTGAGCCAAATTTAGCTCATTTAGCTCGAGCCAAACCATTACCGTGTGAACGCGGTATATGTTTGTGGCGGTATAATACGCTAGTTGCGGTAAAATACGCAAAGTATAATTTTATTTCTCAGATCCGAATCCTTGCTTTTCGTAAGTCGAATGCGCAGATAGAAAGTTCATTTGAACATTCATCCAGTCGCCATATTGTTTATTCCTTTTGTTATTATACGATAACAACTACCAGCGTAGACACAACATATTATCAGGAGTGGATAATAGAGATCTCTATTATCCACTCCTGATAATATTATACCCGCAGAAATATTTTTATAGTAAAAAATTTATGGAGGAACATCATGAGTTTATTAGCCGGCCCGAAAGGCCACAGACATGCGTAACGGTAGTCATATATATACATTCGATGATTCTCTTCCATGCGTGTTATGATTCGCAAATGATTCATTATAATAGCGGGACCGACGGTCCGTTCAGTTTTAGAATGCCGATACATTACGGAATTTCGAGTTTTCGCTTGACAGATGGCGTTTGTGTGCACACACACACGCGCGCGCGCGCGCACGCACGCCCGAACGCACACGCCCCCCGGGGGGACTCCCATACTAAAGTGGTACACATGCTCGTTAGAGAAAACATCGAAAAATAGGGTCGGATTTTGACCCTGTAGCGTCGACGACGTCTTTAGAAAAAGAGGAACTTTTTCAGGTTAACCTTCGACTTTTAGGGTCACCTTTTCGCCCACTTTTTCGCCGATTTTCGTCATTCGATTCGCCCATTTATTTCCGTGCTTACATTCTCAAAGGGATTCTTTCCGGCTTTTCTAGTCTCGACGTCAGACTCTGATGGGCGTATGAGACCTATTGAGTGAGAAAATTGTTTTTACACAATTAACATGATTAAGGGGCCAATTTATTGTGCTACGCCATTTAGGGGTGCGTTTTAGTGTCTTACGCCATTTAGGGGTAAGATTCACATTATATTACGCCAATAAGGGGTGAAATTTGCTACAGCTGAATACGCCATTAGGGGTCTAATTTTGAGATGCTTTGACGAGCATGCGTACCACTTTAGTATGGGAGTGATCCCCCCGGGGGGCACGCACGCACGCACGCACGCACGCACGCACGCACGCACGCACATGTATCTGTAAACACAACAGCGTTCGTTTCTGCGCATAATTTAAGCAGTATCGATTAAATATCGTCTTTGCGCGATGGCGTGCCATTATACATGTCATTGTATTGGCCTCGTATCTCAATTTTATGCCTTACATTTTATTACTTTGCAATAATTCATTGGCGCTTTATTTCAATTAAGAATAATTCGAACGAACAAGGAAACGTAAACAATGCAAACGTCAATCGAATTTAAAAAAATCACAATAATTACGCTGTAGCAAAATAATCGGAATTTCTTTGTTCGAGGTTTATACTCAATATAACGAGCATTATCTTCACGATACGAGACCCACTCGTCGATTACTGTAATTCCTATTATTACTGATTTCCCGTACTCACGTTCTGTGAGTACATACGGGATGCATGCTAGGTCTTGGGGGCAAAGCCAGTATAGTATAGATAGATAGATAGATAGATAAATAGATAGATAGATAGATAGATAGATAGATAGACAGATAGATAGATAGATAGATAGATAGATAGATAGATAGATAGATAGATAGATAGATAGATAGGTAGATAGATAGATAGATAGATAGATAGATAGATAGATAGATAGATAGATAGATAAATAGATAGATAGATAGATAGATAGATAGATAGATAGATAGATAGATAGATAGATAGATAGATAGA